AGGGAAGCCTCTGCTGGCAAGCGAGGAATAAGCCGCAAAATCATCCTGTCTGTCGGGCAATGGGGAGAGGCTCTGAAGTTTTTGCGTGTGTGTGTGTGTGTGTGTGCGCGTTGAGAAAGATTTCAGAAGCCAACTGGAGTAGCTTTTCATACTAAGCGAGAGCCAGAAACTTGGGCTGCGGGGAAGAATTACATACTGCCCGGGAGCATCCAGCGTGTAATTCTGAACTAATCAGATTCCCAACGAAGCACATAACTCGTTCCGTGTGCCCGGCACGCTTTCCATAGGTGGATGGTGTCACGGCACCACCCACCCACGTGCCCTCACAGACACATCCTGGACGGCGAACATCTGCTTGATCATCCTCCTGGCCGGCGAGCATCTGATTCCCAAATGAATCTTGGCCTGGAGTCGATCAAACTAAAGCAAACTCTCTGAACCACGGCTTGACGGAACAGGAATCAAACCCTGATGTTTTTTTTTTCTTCATTGTAGCTTATGGAAAGATTGGCTAGGGACATCTAATGTGCGACGCTGAAAGGGAAGCGTCAACCCCACCAGAGACAGGAAATTGGGCCGAAGGGCTGTTTTTCAGCCTTACTTTTCGCCAGCATGCTCCTTCTTGTTCCATATTTCTCCCAGGGCCTCTGGTTGACAATGTTCTTTCATTATTAAATGCAGAAGATAAATTCGTGCCTTTTTAACCATTCTAAGTTTAGTTACAGGAACCTACCAGGTATCTTGGCATGTAAAAGAGGCTACAAACCTAACCAACAATTAAAGAACGATCACCCTGAAGCCTGGTTAGGAAATTTGCCAATCTTCTCCAAATTACTTGTCTTTTTTTTTTTTTCATTAGGTTGATCATTTGCTATCCAGAAAGCCTGTCTCTGGTGATGAATCTGGTTAAACAATTGTATTGCTGCTGCATTTTTTAAAAATCCTGATGCTATTTAGAATACCCCTTTATCCTTTAAATAGTATTTAAGGACTGCTTTTAACTGTTATTTTATGAGAGCTTACAGTCAGGTTTACTGCCTTAATTTCTCTAGGTGGAAAGGCAGGGGGGTGGAAAACAAAGATTCATATAAAAAAAATTGCAAATAATTTATCCAGAAACTTAGCATCGCTCCCGCCAAGTCTTTCAGCTGGGAACTCTGCCTGCTAAACCACTCCCTTTTTTTCCAACCCTTCACCTATCACACTTAAAGATTTTAAAAGTAAAACTGGATAGGGTGTGGCCGATGGACTTTGTGTTCTTTGTTGGGCCAAAAAGAAAGGGAGAAAAAAAAGGCGGGGAGGACAAAGCAAGTTTCCACAAAGTCTAAAAAACTTTTCAAGAGCCTCTCCTATGGTGTCCTCTAACCTCACAGTTCGTCATTAAATGACATTTAACCCATTGCAAATTTCTCCTTGACAGGAAGTGATTCCTAGGAACCCATGATGTAATTATTAACCCAAAGAGACAGAAGCTAAAGTTGGATGTGAAAAAGACACACACACACACACACACACACACACACACACACACACTCCGCCTCCCCCTCCCCCCCCTCCCCAACCCCAGTCCACGTTGACAAATTCTTTTGACAAGTCCTGTGGTTACAGGGAAGCTGGTTTCATACTGAGTCATCTCTGTTCAAACAGTTTACTGGAAATGGAGGGGAGGGGGAATTTTCAAAGAAACCATGTGATGGCCAGACTAACCACAATCAGCAAAATGTTCACAGGAGAAAGGGAAAAAAGAAAGAAAGAAAGAAAGAAAGATAGAAAGAAAGAAAGAAAGAAAGAAAGAAAGAAAGAAAGAAAGAAAGAAAGAAAGAAAGAAAGAAAGAAAAAAAGAAAGAGGGAGGGGGGAGGGGGGGAGGGAAGGAAGGAAGGAAGGAAGGAAGGAAGGAAGGAAGGAAGGAAGGAAGGAAGGAAGGAAGGAAAGGGAGTTGGAAGAGAAAGAAAGCAGATGGGGGAGAGAGAGGAGAGGAAAAAGGAAAGAGAAAGAAAGAAAGCCAAAGAAGAGAATGAAAGAACACAGGGAGGAAGAAGAGAAAGACAGCAGATGGGAGAGAGAGAAAGGAAGGAAGAAAAAAAGACGAAAGAAAAAGCATGAAAGAGAGAGAGAGAAATAGGGAAGGAAGAAGTTAAGAAGAGAAAGAAAAAAAGAGAAAGAGAAAAAGGAAGAAGAGAGGAAAAAAGAAAGAATGGGGAGTGAGGCAAAAGAGAAAGTTGGGGAGACAGAGAATAAAGAAAAAGAGAGGAAAGAAGCAAGGGAGGAAGGAAGGAGGGAGGGAAAGGAAGCAAGTAAGGCCAGGCTCCTGGGGTTAAACAACCGCTCTGCAATCTTTCAGTCCCTTTGAAGTTTACGATGTGCCTTAACTCCTTTCAAAAACCGTGTTTCTTCAAGGGAGAGGACTGGGAAAGAGTCAACAAAGAGAAGGAAGGTCCTTGATTGCCCCACACAAAGCAATGGCCAGAAAGCACAGGGCCCCCCCTCCCCCTCGGGGGGCGGGGGGGGGAGCTGACCTGAGAATAATCAGGCCAGGCTTGTCTCTGGAGCTGCTTCTGGCTCCCTTTTAGCAATCCCTGCTTGGCCTTCCTCGGGGCGCCCATGCAAACTTTCTCCCCCGGGGGATTAATGCATGCGGTTAGCAGATCTGTGAGATTTAGCCGGGGCGCGGGAGGGGGGCGCTTTCTGGCTCACAGATCTCTGATGGCTTCCAGTGAGGTGTGATTCTCTCCAGAGAGAGTAGGAAATCAAGAATATAATCCCCCCCCCGCCCAAAAAAAGAGCACACAAAGATTGGGACCCAATTGGACCCAATACAGCCCAGCTCAGGATCTTGTTTTCTCCAAGGTGCATTCCATTACACAGGGCCATTATTATTATTATTATTATTATTATTATTATTATTATTATTATTATTATTATTATTA